GACCAGTATCTGCCTTGACTTAATCCAGCAGGTGGAGCCCACACCCAGCAATGCTTGGGTAACTAAGAACCTGAGACTAGACAGCTCAGGGACCAGGGTAAAACTAAACACTACTGTTTAAAATAACATAGCAGTAAAATGACTCCTAGATCAGTTCCTTGCTCAGACATCATCAGAGAAACTTCCCCCTGCAACAGATAGGAACAAATACAGAGACCCACAGAGACAAAATGCAGTGAGAGACCCTGGAACACACAGCCCACAAAGTTAAGTCTCCATCCAATCCTCCCTCTAAGGGCTCAGAAAACCCTGCAGAAGAGGAGGTGGGAAGATTCTAAGAGCCAGGGGGAATGGAGAACACCAAGGAAACAAAGCCTTCTAAATCACATGTTGGATGAGCATATCAACTCAAAAAGACCAAGAGAGCACACAGGGCCCATACATGTAAGTGCCAGATGGAGTCTAGAGCTGAAGGAACTGGACCGGGATCTTTAATCCAGAAGCTGCCTCCAGCTGATAACCACTAGCAAATGAACTAGTTCTCTCCATGGGAGTCTCTCTGGGAAAACAAACCGCTCTTAACCGACTGCATCGTGCCCAGCTGTAGATGGCCAACACAAGTGAACTCAGTGGCATCCTTGCAGACTCCAACTCATATTGTCACATCAGTCCTTTCTTTTTAACATTTACAATATTTTTTCTCTGTTTTCACCCCACAGGTCCTTTGCATCTATGCTATGGCTTCCAGTTCAGTGTCTCTATGGGATTCCTGAGTGGGCGGATGAGTGGGTCTGTGTCTATAACTGTTTCGTCAGCCTTTTCCCTTCATTAGCTTCACGATGTTCCTCTAGGCTAGTTTTTGTTTTTCTCGTTATATTATATTTATTATTATCCCCTAGAAGCCTGTTTATTTCCTAATGAGAGACAGAAAGGGGGTTATCCTGGCTGGTTTTGAGTGTCAACAATACAAGCTAGAGTCATCAGAGAGGAAGGAGCCTCAGCTGAGGAAATGCCGCCATGAGATCCAGTTGTAAGTCATTTTCTCAATTAGTGATCAATGTGGGAGGGACCAGGCCATGGTGGGTGTTGCCATCCCTGGACTGGTTGTCCTGAGTTCCATAAGAAGGCAGACTGAGCAAGCCAAGGGAAGCAAGCCAATAAGCAGCTCCCCTCCATGGCTTCTGTATCAGCTCTTGCCCATGGGATCCTGCCCCATTTGAGTTCCTGCCCTGACTTTCTTCAGTGAAGAACAGCAATGGGAAAGGGGAAGTCAAATAAACCCTTTTCCTCCCCAACTTGTCTTTTAATCATGGGTTTTGTCGCAGCAGTAGAAACTCTAACTAGAGCTAGGCGGTGGTGGCACACACCTGTAATCTCAGCACTCAGGAGGCAGAGGCAGGCGGATCTCTGTGAGTTCAAGGCCAGCCTAGTCTAGAAGAGCTAGTTCCAGACAGGCTCCAAAGCTACAGAGAAACCCTGTCATTGAAAAAAAAGAAACCCTATCTAAGACTGGGGTGGATCCAGATGGGAGCGGACATGGGGAAGAACTAAGAGGAGTAAAAAGAGGAGAAAGGATAGTCAGGATATATGAAAAAAAAAAAAAGACCCATTTTCAATAAAAAAGAAAAAAGTTTAAGACCAATTATATGGAAAATAAAACTTCAACTGAGATGTGGTGTTCCTTCCATCTGTGACACTAATCTAAACAGCTTTCAATGCATGGAAAACATTACTGTTGTTTTAGAATGGTAAAAAATGATAAACTGGAGATAACCACATTAAGCTAATTAAGCCAAAATCATAAAAGTGAATACTGTACATTTTCTGTCATTTGTGGTTAGATTTTATGTAGGCACAAAATCGATTGAAGCGATTGCATTGCTGTGTCTTAGTTATGTTTTCTCTCGCCTTAACGAAACACTGTCACCAAGAACAACTTGGGGAATAAAGGGTTTATTTCACTCACAGGCCCACAAAACAGTTTCAGTAGGGAGCAAGGCAAGCAGGGCGGGAACCTGGAGGCAGGAGCTGATGCAGAGGCCATGAAGGGGAGCTGCTTACAGGCTTGCTCCACTGTGGAGGCCCAAAGAGGCCAAAGGTCAGAGAGTTTGGAACTTGTTTTTAGTTCATTCTAGGTTATTGTGCTTCTTACACAAGCAAAGGTCCCACCAAGTTGTAACTCAGAGTCCTGCTCCCTCAAGACTGTTTGTCAACGCGTGTTGCCAGACCTTGTGTTCCTGAAATAGGGAAGTAGTTGGTTCCTACCTAAAACAAAAGTCTAAGGATCCAACCAAGCTCCAGTTCCCTTTATGGAAATAACTTGGGATTCCACCCAGGGAATGGTTTGCCTACTGAGTGTTTGGTTTAGGGCGTGAGCCTAGGCCATGAGCAATGAATGTAGCCATGACTTTCAGTTTATATATTAATGCAGTCTTTTGTTTTAATTCTACGTTTTGGGGTCAGGGTATATTAGCCAGTTGGAAATTAAACATGGGCGAATATTCAGTACTCACTGAAAAATTCTCTCCCAATACTATCCTATGTTTCTGCAATTTATTATTTTCGTTTGCGTCTTCGTATTCTTTACTCTATTTCTAAATTCCCACACACGCCTCCACTCTGGAAAGGGTGTTTTTTGGAGGATGGCCCCCGGCACTCCACATAGTTTGCTCCTTTGGCTTTTCTAGAAGAAGGCAGGATCACCGGCACAGGGATGGCTCCACCCCCGATGGGCTGAACCGGCTCACAACACTGATTAAGAAAAAACGCCATAAAGGCATGCTCACCGCCAGCTCTTAGAAAAACTTCTCAGCTACGTTCCCTCCCTAAGATGACTCTAGCTCGTGTCACCTCGACATACAACTACTAGGACAGCGTGTGTCTTCCTGCTCCACTGCTGTGAGAGACACAAGGACCAAGGTAGCTCTTATGAAAAGAACACATTTAATTAGGAGCTTGTTTACAGGTTCACAGCAGGCTGTACAGTGACAGGCAGGTAGGCATAGAGTTAGGGAAGTAGCTGAGGGCTTTACATCCTGATCCTCAGGCAACAGGCAGAGAGAGGAGTAACTCTGGGTCTAGTGTGGGTTTTTGAAACCTCGAAGCCCACCTCCAGGGACACACCTCCTCCAGCAAGCCCACACTTCCTAATCCTTCCCCCAAAGCCCACCTCCAGTGACACACCTCCTCCAGCAAGCCCACACTTCCTAATCCTTCCCCCAAAGCCCACCTCCAGTGACACACCTCCTCCAGCAAGCCCATCACTTCCCAATCCTTCCCCCATAGCCCACCTCCAGGGACACACCTCCTCCAGCAAGCTCACACTTCCTAATCCTTCCCCCAAAGCCCACCTCCAGGGACACACCTCCTCCAGCAAGCCCACACTTCCTAATCCTTCCCCCAAAGCCCACCTCCAGGGACACACCTCCTCCAGCAAGCCCACACTTCCTTATCCTTCCCCCAAAGCCCACCTGCAAACCATGCATCCAAATATATGCATGTATGAAGGGGGAGGGGCATTCTCACTCAAACTGCCACAGCACATGTGACCAAAAAACATCAAACCATCTCTTCATTCAAATAGGGTGGTATTGTAGACAATTTGTGTTTTCACATTTTCTAATAATAATCCACTGTGCTGAGACCCTCCCCAGCAGCTTAGATGTGAGTTGAGTTGGGAGGACAACTAGAGCATCTCTGAGACTTAAACTACCTCTCTGAAGCTGACACAGCAAGCCTGTAACTTTCGCAAATGTTCCTGAAGTTAAAGTGAGGGTATGTATCATCACAAAGCCAAAATAAACGACTGCCTAGTTTAATAAATGAAAGCAACTACTAATTTCAAGGAAAAAAAGATGATAAAATTTAATATAATATATAATTAATGTTGCCCATATCTGACTAATTCCTACTGTATCTCAGCTTAAACATAATTTCTCTCAAAAACCTGTTGGAACAGGGTAGAAAATCCTCCTCTTCAAAGTATGTCTAGGGAACTCAAATTCTCTTCTCTTACAGTATAACCTCACAACATGTTCGCCCATTGCTAGCTGCCTGCAAACACTGGGAAAACATGAGCAACTTAACGTCTGCTTGCTCAGCACTGTGACCAAGGCATCTACAAAGATACTCAACAGGGCGTGAATATTAAGTCTTTGTTTAATTATTGGTCATCACAAGGCCACTTATGGTTATCCCGTGAAACCAGCCATTTCTGTCTTTGCTTTTTTAGCAGTGGGCTCTCAACTGCCAGTTCAGAGACCAAAATACCAATGACCAAGTACTCCCCCTCCCCCACACCCCTTCATGATGTCAAATAACAGGACTACCATGCCAAGGATAAGTGGGCACACAAATGTGTGCGGCTGATGGAGATAACGAAACGGTAAAATGACTATCCACACTCCTTTCCCAAACACCACCATCGCTGTCTGGATGGCCGTTCACAGCCGAAACTTCAACTATTTGTTTAGTTCCTAGATGTGGAGATCTTAAGTCAATCATCTCTACTAATCCTTAAAACAGCCTGTACCTGTTCTACAGTGAAGAACCTGAAAGACAAAAATCTTTAACAACTTTGCTGCAAAGTCCTGCTGACTTCACAGGTCATTTCTCAAACATTGGGTCAAACGTTTCCATTAGAGAAAGCCCCTGAGTTCGAAGATCGGAATGCGATGCAATGTCCCTGCTGCTCCGTCTCTCACAGAGCGGGAACCGCATGCAGCCATGCATTTTCTCCAGTCATTGGGGATTTCGCTGTGCTAGGGTGAACTATCAATATTTTGCCAGTTGTGGTAGCACGTGCCTTAAATCCCAGCACTTGGGAGGCAGAGGCAGGCAGATCTCTGAGTTCAAGGCCCGCCTGGTCTACTAGTGAGTTCCAGGACAACTAGAGCTACATATTGAGACCGTGATTCAAAAACCCAAACTCCATAAACAAATAAAATACACACACCAGGAAACTAAGAGTAATTCCCTGTGGAATTATAGCAAACACTCACCCACAAAGGCTGCCATCTGAGCGGCTGTTCTTCCCACTGAATTCACAACATCCGTCTCGGCACCTGCCTCCAGCATGACCCACGTGATGTCTTTATTGCCTAGAGTTCCAGGACAAAAAATATCAACCATAATTGCAAAAGCACTACAAACCTACCTAGTTAAACCAGTTTCCTGAAAACCCAGTTTGGTAATACAAACATGGTATAGAACTGAGTAGCACTTTTAACAATAAAACAGAGTATGTTTGCTGAATGGTTATGCTTAGGATAAAGTCAGAATATACATACAAAATTATCAAAAACAACGAGAAGAGCAAAGAAACAAAAACCCTCCTTTAACAGCTGCTGGCTCGTTCCTCCTCTCACACCGACAGACTGGGGAGGCGTAGATGGTATATAGAGGTATATGTGCTACATGGTATATGAGTTGTATATGATATATATAGTATATGTTGGTGTATATGGTATAAACATTGGGGGATATTTCTACACATTTCTATGGAAATATCTATAGTTCATTTTCATTTTCCCAATCATCATAGATGCTTTGTTAATATTATCTCCATTGAGTGAGCAGCAGTTTTGGTTCACATTTGCATGGATGAACTCTGATTTTCTTAGGAGCATTTCCTGGAAAACTGTGGATGAAGATTATGCATTAAATACATATTGCCAGGTGGCCATCCAACCAGGGCAGACCAAATACAGTCCACAAGATGAAGCTCCTGGGCACTACTGCGTTAACCATTGCCAATGTAGTAAGTGAAAAATGATCATATGTGCTCCGATCTTGACCTCTTTGATTAATACCCAAAGCATTTTCTACACTGATCAGCTGCTCTGCTTCTGTTCTCTGCCCAGCTGTGTCTCACAGTCTTTGTCTTTCTCTAGCTGATTTGTAAGAATTCCTTATAGATAGCAATGAGACCATTAAGATCTCACAATTAATACTTTTCATTTGTATTTTAACTCTATAGAATATCTCATTTACAGCAATGTTAAAATTCTATGTAACTAAATAGCTGCTGAGGTCCCCTTTGCTTATAGAGTTTTTATGTGTGTGTGTGGGGGGGGTCGGGGTGTGTGCGTGTGTGTGTGAGCGCGCTCGTGTAAAGGGATTTGATCCCCTGGATCTGGAGTTATAGGCAGTTGTGGGCCACTTGATGTGGATGCCCATAACCCAAGGCCTCTGTGAGAGTGGTGGGCATCCAATTTTAATAAGGTGGTACCGCATTACTGTTCCATTTCTCAGAAAAATCTCAAGGCATTTGAAATTTGAAGGCCTCAGGCACAAATCAAACACAGTGCACCAATAAAAAAAACTGCAGAGCGTAACTACAGAAGATAGTCAAGGCTTGGTGCCACTGACTGACCTGCACACGGCAGCCCTGGGCCCAGATTGCACAGTTTGTGAAGAGCTATGAATGGCAACCTCACAGACACCAGTGGGCATTCCTTCTTGGGTATTCCGCACACAAGGAAAAGATGGCGGCAAGGCGACACAAGATTTTTAAAGATCTACTGAAACCTCTAAGAGAAAATGTCTTCCTTAGGACATGAAGGGGTCATATGTGAGATACGACAGAACCATGTGTGAGGTCTGAGCTCTGTGGACATGTTTCTGAATTCTCCCCTGGGAGTGAATGAAGGAAGTGGACTATGTCATTGGAGGATGTTTAGGTTTTATGGTGTATATGGCAGTGTCTCTGGAATTGAGGGTAATAAAGATGAAAAAGAACTAAAACATGGTGGACAAAAAAGAAAAAAAAAGGAAGGAAGGAAGGAAGAAAAGAAAAGAGAAAAGAAAAAGGGAGGGAGGAAGGAAACGATCGAGATTATCGGAGCTCCAACTCCATTTTGCTGTGGTTTTTTCCACGCCTTCAACAATCACACCTCAGGAGCTCATCAAACAGGCAAGGAAGATTACCTATTGGGAAGAATCCCTAACACTTTTCCACAGTAGAATTCTGGCTGTTCTATACAGGCCCTTTAGCATAAGGGTATTGGGAAACTAGACACTGCAACTTTGTGTAATAGGGGCAGCGTTTGTTTGGAGCAAATTCAGCTCCAGGAGTCGGTCGGTTGCATGCAGGAGGAGTTCCACCAATTGCTCCAATTCTTTCCATTGTAGTAGCTTGGCCAAAACATTTAGGTGGTTGTGGAGTCAATCCCAGGGTTCCATCTGGCATCATAGTGGCAGGTCCTGGAGGAGCTGAGGTACCAGCCAGCACCGGAGCAGAGGATATGGGCCGCTATTGTTTATGCCCATAGCATCTCCCATAGTCATTGGGCCCATCCATATCTTTTGTTCTCTTTATCAGGGAAGGTTCCCTTGAATCATTTCTTGCTGCCACCGCGTTTCTTCCCGATGCCTGCGCCACTCCTCCTGCCTGAGCGCTACCTGCTTTGTTTCTGAACCTCTCGGAAGCTCTTCTTGAAGCCAAATCAAATCCTACCTCATTTGCATATTCTGGTGCTTAAGGCCTGCTGCTTCATCTCCAGCTTCTTATGAGTCTCCTTGGTGTTAAAGTCGCCTTGATCCTGCTACTTTTTCTCCACCTCAGTTCCTTCCAGTGCATGGCATACTCATACTCCAAGGACCTAAGCAGTGCGAATCTGGGTGACTGCTTTCGGGCTACATTTTTTATGACCAACTTCTCTGAAAGCCGGTCTTCATCATGGTCACAGTCGTCTGGGGAAATGCAGTTAGCAAGGAGCATTGATTGCAGCTGGAGCCTCTGAGCAGCGACTTCCTGAAAACTCACCAATGCCTCTCCCTGAGGGCCTTCCTCGGTCATGCTCGGTGACCTCAGCTCTCCACCTGGCCAAACAGAAAAGGTTTGGTTCCTTGGATGCATACTGAGGAAGACTGCAGACTGTAAGCGTAGGCGGAGCTGCTTTCTGAGAGGCAAATTGTCCAGGTCCACTTTGGCAATTTCCTCAAGGGTTCATGTTTCCAAGCGGGTAAAGCCAAAGCCTTTGTCCATATGAACTGAAATTTTTGCCTGCTTTCCCATGATTCTCAGAAAGTTTCCTCATTTCCTTCTCGGTGATGTCATGGAGAGAATGCCCATAAAGAGACCCCCACATTGCCTGAAGGTCTCCTGTTTTCCTAAAACTCCCCAGGACAGTAGTCAAACCTTCATTCTGGCCGTCAGGGAGAGGGGGTGTTGGGGAATATTATTTTAAAGTGTGTTGCATTTTTTCCTACTGCTTTTGTTTACAATTTAAAGATGTGTCTGGTTAAATAAAATTAACCTGAGGGCAGAAGGCTGAGTCAGCAAGCAGCTGACAGGAAGTAGTAAGCAGGAAGGGGGAGGGGGGGAAGCAAGGATTTTTAAGTGGGGAGTGGAGAGGGCACTGAGAGTTTTTTTGGAAGATGCCAGCAAAGAGGGAAGGTTGGCTACTAGCTATTCAGCCTCTTATAGCAAGCAGAATTCAAGTTCAAAATAAAAATTCCAAAAAGAGCAAAAGAGTAAAAAAAAACATACTACAGGACTGGAGAGATGGCTCAGTGGTTAAGAACATTGCCTGCTCTTCCAAAGGTCCTGAGTTCAATTCCCAGCAACCACATGGTGGCTCACAACCATCTGTAATGAGGTCTGGTGCCCTCTTCTGGCCGTCAGGCATACACACAGAAAAAAAAATTGCATACATAATAAAGAAAGAAAGAAAGAAAGAAAGAAAGAAAGAAAGAAAAAACATACTACTACTACTACATTTTGGCACCCAACATGGGACTCATATTTCCATAGGGCCTGAGAAAACTCGAGAAAAAAAGAGGGGGATACGGTTCCTTTAAGAGTTTGGTCAGACAGTGTCTGCCAGTTAGTGAGCCCTTGAACACCCAGAACATTAAGTAGGAACAAAAAATGAAGTAAAAATGCCTGCCATAGTGCACACATCAGCATTCTAGGCTCTAGGAAGATGGAATGCAGATCCTGGTCAGATGAACCTCCAACAGGGATGAGAACTTTCTTTTTATAGACGTGGCTCTCACCAACCGAGAAGAGGGCAGAGCCAGCTGAGAACCATGTGGAGTATCCAGGTGTAGCTTATCAGTCTAAAATTTGTTTGTGGTAAAAAGAAAAAAAAAAAAGACTAGAGACATACACACACAATAAAGAAGTCCAGACAGAAAAAAGACTCTAGTTTCCAGTGTGTTTTACAATGTGCATAGACTAAACAAAGAAAGAGAATGGGTATAGACAGTCTTAGAAAGAAACAGATTTAAAATAATAAAGTCTCTAAAGAGACAATAACAGGAAAAGAAAAATGCCATGTAAGATGAGAAATACACAGGGAGTCTGAATCCTGAATAGTATTGGGTTGATTTTGAATTTTTTGATTGTTGAAAAGCAAAGGACAGCTGCTTAGAGACCTAGAATTGAAAGAGGTACTGCTGTAATAAACCAATCTAAATACTTTTGAGATGTCTTAACTTTTAAAAAATGTATTTGTCAAATGAAATTAAAAAAACGCTTTGGAGAAGCAGTTTTATTTGTTTCCATAGGAAACAAGAGGCTGTGGATTTAGTCCAGGTTGATTTGGATCTGGTTGATAAGGGGAAACCTCCTGAGAAGGGGATATCCATCAATAAAGGTTATAACTGGTCTTCCCAGGACTTGCTCATTATCTCAAAATTTTCTCCCTGGAACCCTAGAAATGCCGAACAGCCAGCAAGAAGCAGTGTAGACTAAACTACATTCACATTCCCAAGAGCTGGGCTGTGGGGGGTTTTTGGTTAATTGGTGGGTCATGGATGTTTGTTGTATTTAGGGTAATATAGTACTATAGGAATGATAAAACAAAAGGGCAGATTATTGAATCTACTCTAAATAATAGGGTAGATTATTGACTCTATTATAAACTAAGGGACAATTATTGATCTCAAATACTTTGTAACTTTTGTATATTGACATAAATTTAAGGTAATTTGTGTTGCAGCACACAGTATGTATGTTTCTGTTCTTGTTTAAAGGACTTTCATAATTACTAAAAAATTTAAGGTTACTTTTGTTAACAACATTGTATGTATGTTTCCATGTTTGTTTGAGGTATTGCATCTATGCAGTTCAGCTTTTGAAAACTATTCTTATAAACTATATAGGACAATCAAGAAACATAGGTTAGTAGTTAGTCATTGATAACAGTCAATTTTTTTTTTGGGGGGGGGCCTGCCTCTGCCTCCCAAGTGCTGGGATTAAAGGCGTGCGCCACCACCGCCCGGCTAACAGTCAAATTTGTAGATATGTTAGGCAAGCTTTCTAGATCATACAGAGATATAGTTTAGGTACATAAATGGTCTTTTTTAAACACTTCAGAGACCTATAGAATATGGCATTTAAAATGTTTTAACCTACGGTTTTTCATGACAATGAGAAACATCTTTTCCAGGTAGCACCAATTCACTTTAGAGAAGTTATGGGCATTGAAGAAACTCCTTAGAGAGTTTGCTGTCATTTTGGAAAGATTAGCCATTTGGGGCAAAAAGCTGTTCTTGCTTGAACTGCTTGACACTATGCCGTAGAAACTGGACATGTAGGACCCACAAGAAAGTGACCACTGAACTTTGCCAAAACAGGGCAGGATGATCCTTTATGGTTCCTGCTTCCCAGAAGAAACTGCCAGACATTCTGCCGAACACTGAGGAGAGTGGCTGACAAACTGCCAACAGAGGCAAAACAGTCTTTTCAAATTTCCTGCTCAGTTGAAAAGTTTGCCAGATACTATGGGCCTGTAGGCTGAAGATGGATGACCCAACATTGCAAAGGAAATTCGGGTGACTGTCCAGGCAGTGAGATGTCTCTGTCATTTCTAGAGTTTTTGGAAGTTGTTTACAATGCACTTTTAATTTACTTAACTAATATTATATCTTTCTGGTATATAACCTTTGATGGAGTTGAAGACTAGATCGTTATAATTGAAGTTTTCCTTAGATAGGATAGAAAGTAAATCAGGTATAAAATTTTGGATTTACTAAGATAGGATGGATTATAGAGCATTTTCTTTAAATTTACCAGTCACAAATGAAATGGAATTCAGTACATTGTGAATGTAATCTTTGATAATTGCTCTTACTGGATACAGTCTTACTATGTTCGAGTTAAAACTTCTCATTTTTGTTTAGATAAAAGCAGGGTAAGCTGTGGAATATTATATTCAAGTGTGTTGCTTTGGTTTATGTTGCATTTAACTCTGTAAAGCTGTCCCACTTTGCCTGTCTAGAAGACCTGATGGTCTAATAAAGATCTGAACAGCCATAGTGAGGCAGGAGAAAGGATAGGTGGGGCTGGCGGGCAGAGAGAATAAAAAGAATAAACAGAAGGAGAACTCTGAGAGGTTCTGAGAAGCGGCCAGAGGAGGAGGACATCAGGGGCGAGTCATCCAGCTGCACCCCAATCCATGGAGTAAGAGTAAGATTTACGGAAGTAAGAGAATGGGGAAAGCCCAGAGGCAAAAGGTAGACCAGATAATATAAGTTAAGGAAAGCTGATGGGCGGGCGAGAACCAAGCCAAGCTAAGGCCGGATGCTTGAAACTAAGAATAAGGCTCTGTGTGTTTTATTTTGGAGCTAGGTGGTGCGCTCCCCAAAAGAGCCAAAAAAGAACAAAAATATCACACAACAGTGGTGTGTCCTGGTTTCCTAAAATTCTTCAGGTCACTAGTGAAGTCTTTATTCTGGTCTTGTGTGTGTGTCTGTGTGTTTAGGTCAGTTGTCAAGCCTTCATTCTGGAACTCTGTGTGTGTGTCTGCTGCTGCTGTTGGTGGAGGATGCATCCTTGGAGTATGGTTCTGCTTCTCCAAGTTAAAGGTTTCTCCACTCTGTATTTTTTGCACCCTTTTGCCCACTTCTCCAGCCCCTGATGTCTGTATTATTTATGGATTCCTTACTGTATATACTTAGAAATGCTTTTGTGCCCGATGAAGATATAGATGGGGGTGGTGTCCTTAAAATCAGAGCTTATTATATTATATGCCTATTTTATTAAAGATCTACAATCATCTGGGCATGATGTCACACATCCTTAACCCCAGCTCTCAGGAGGATCTCTGTGAGTTCCAGGCTAGTCAAGTCTATACAGTGAGATCTTGTTGTCAGGATCAGCCAAACAAAAAGGGGGGGGGGGGGACTAGATGGAGGGGGAAAGAGAGAATCACTTAAACCCTATTTTATTTTAGGTGACACTTCTCAATTATTTTATTCAGGAAACAAGAAGATGCAGCTAGACAAACGGCCAGCACTGCACTGCGGCTGCTGGATTATAGACCAAAGAAATGCCTGGATTTCATTGAAATGTAAGTATTTAGACTCAAAGGAGAAAATCTGAAAGAGGTGCACAGAGAACCAGCTGATTTTAATCCCTAAAGAAAGAGGTCACTGGACTGGCAAGATGGTCAGTCAGATAAGAGTACTTGCTGCCAGGGCTGAGGACTGGCATTCAGTCCCCGGAATGCACGTGGCAGAAGGAGGGAACTAAATCCTGCAAGTTGTCCTCTGCCCTGCAGACCCATACTGTGGCAGGGGTGACTGTCCCCCAACCACAGCAAACACATGCTAAAACAGAAAGGAAACAGATCACTAACTCTGTAACTTGTTTCAGGCATTGTAACTTTTTATTTTATTTTGGTTTTTCAAGACAGGGTTTCTCTGGGTAGCCCTGGCTGTCCTGTAACTTGCTCTGTAGACCAGACTGGCTTCGAACTCAGAGATTGTTATTCTTGGTGCTGGGATTAAAGGCTGCATTATAGCTTTTCAGAAGTCAATTCTCACCACTCTTTCTACTAAGCTTCTAAAAGTTACTAAAGTAAAACATGCATTAGCTATAAAATCCGGGCCCATTTAAATTGTATAGGTAACTAACACTGACGAGTAAGCACTAAAACTTTACCGGAAAGTGCAGCAAACATGAGGGCTGTGTATCCGTGCTCATGCTGATGACAGTTGACATCAGCTCCATGGCGCAGAAGCAGCTTGCACATGTCAAGTTTCCCTTTATATGCCGCATGCATTAAAGGAGTCATTCCATTCTTTAAACGGAAGGGAAAATATATTAATTATGCACATTTTCATAACGTAGGAACACAAACATAAAATAATAAAATCATCTTTAAAACCCATAAAGTATATTCATTTCCTCTCTTAGATCTTACCTCAGCTTCTGAGGGGAAAAAACATAAACAGATTAACAAAGAGAAAAGACGTGTTTCACCTCACAGACTTTCAGATAAGTAGAGCAGAGATCAGAACCCAGATTGCCTAAGGTCCTCATTTCCCCACACTCTTATTTCTTGAGACACCAATGGACACCAGAAAACCAAAGACAGGCAGCTAAGGTGTGAGGACCACGGGTTCAAGGCCTTCCTGAGCCTGGGTCACTTAGTGAGACCCTATGTCAAAATAAAAGGTTTAAAAAGGGTTTGGAATATAGTTTAATGATCCAACACTGGCCTGGTATGTGTAAGGTCCTACTGTCAACCTCCAGTACCTAAACAAACCAAACCCAAAATAAATCTGAAAATAAACAGAACACTTATCAAAAAAAAAAAAAAGCTGACTAGAATCTGGCATATTCAAATTAGGTAATTCTGCAGCTATTCAGTGAGTCTGGAGACAGTGAGCTGGCTCACTTGGTGAAAGTGCTTTCACCAAGCCTGGCTCCTGGAGCTTGAGCAGCAGAGCCTGCTGGCAGGAGAGAGCCAACTTCAAAAACTGTTCTCTGAGCACATGCCCCCCCCCCACACACACACACAATACACAATATAAACAGGTAAAGATGATATTTTCTTTTCAATTTCAGAGGAGACAGAGAGATGGCTCGGAGGTTAACATTGCTTACTGCTCTTCCAGAGAACCTGAGTACAGTTCTAGTGCTCACATCAGATGGCCCCCAACTGCCTGTGACTCTAGATCCAGGAGATCAGATACTCTCTCCTGGCCTTTGTGCACACATACACACACACACACACACACAAATAAATTTAAAAATTTATCTATGTGTTGTGAATTAGAAATTCTCCAACTATTGCCAACGAGAAAAAGCAGGCACAGGTTATATTTAATGCTGTGACATCATATCTTAAAACAAAGATCCTCAAATCACATACACATTTTAATTACACTATGATTTGATTACATATGATTGTAAACATTGAGTAGTATCTGGCAATATTTAAGCTAGACTGAATTGCTAAGTCTCCATCTGTTTGTGTTTACCTAATGTAATAATATTACACCTCACACATGGATCTGTGGTACCTCATATATGACCCCTTCATGTCCTAAGGAAGACATTTTCGCTTAGAGGTTTTAGTAGATCTTTAAAAAATCTTGTGTTGCTTTGCCTCCATCTTTTCCTTGGGTGCAGACTACCCAAGAAGGAATGCCTATTTGTATCTACGAGGTGGCCGTTCACAGTTTCTTTTTGACAGGCTTTGCAATCGTGTGCCCATGGCTGCTGTATGACCAAGGCACCGAGCCTTGCCTATCTTCTGTAGTTACACTCTGTATTTTTATCAGTGTGCTATGTTTGATACATTCCTAATAACTTCAATTTGAAACTTATAATGAATATATGTAATTCCATAGCTTTTTTTGAGTAACATTGCCACAAAAGTATAATTTAAAACAAAACTTAAAGATTAAACATTTCAAGATTTAGTAAAAATATATGAGGTAGTTTACTTAAATTATTTGGTCATAAAGAATTTTCTTTCAACTGGGCATAACAATGTGTGCCTTTAATCCAGCAGAGGCCGAGAAGTCGCTATAGAAGTTCCAGGCCAGCCAAGGCTATGGACTGGGACCCTGTCTCAAAAAAACACAAAGGGAAAACATTCCTTCTTGCTAATGAAATGGCTCTATGATCTTATGAGGTGTGTGGGTACAGTGCAGCTCAGCTCACGAACGTAAACGGTCTGGTCTGAAGTAAAGAGTTTGTTGTTTTGAATGTCTATCCTTGAGATGTCTTTAAGCAAACTATGATCTCTGTGGGTGATTTTGACTTTTTATCAGTTGTGTAGGAGGTTCTTGTCTTCCATTCGACAGGAAAGGTTGTCTCCTTTTAAGAATTTAAGAATTATTGAGTTAAAAACATTACAAGGTAGGCAGGCATTTCACTAATTTGATTATTTTTTATTTTTAAATCTAGCACATTGCATTTCCTAAACTTGTTTAATGTTATATGAAATTTATTTTGTAAAATAGTATAATATATATGATCTATTAGCATATAAAACATCATGTTCCCACATTTTTTTAAAAAAATGATAAAAGTTGGGTGTGGTGGTACAATTGCCTTTAATTCCAGTATTTGGGAAACAGAGGCAGGTGGATCTCTGTGAATTAAAGGTCAGACTGGTCTACATAGCTAGTTCCAGGCCAGTCAGTGCTGAATACGAAGACCCTGTCTCAAGAGAGAGAGATTATTTGGAGACAGATGTGATTACAAACACCTTTAATTGCATTCCTGTGTCCCAGAGCTTGGGAAACCAAGGCAGGAGGCCTAAGAGTTCAAAGGGTAGCAGGGGACTTAGAGTATTAAGATTCTATCTCAAAAACAACAACAATAAAGTTAAAACGAAGAAAAAGATGAAGAAGGGAGAGAGAAGGAGGTTACAATTTGGGCTTAGTTTGTACTTATTAGATTGCCCATAAGACTGGTCATGTTTTCATTGTCTCTTATCTTGATTTAAGTAATATAACCTGAGCACACAATGCTTCAAAACAACTTCTATTGAAAGATTTTTGCACTACCCAGTGTGTGTGTGTGTGTGTGTGTGTGTGTGTGTGTGTGTGTGTGTTTGCCAAGCTAGAAGTTGATGTCAGGTGTCTCACTCTGTTGCTTTCCACCTTATTCGCTGTTTTGGCTAGACTGACTGCTGGCCAGTGAGCTCTAGACACCCTGTTTCCGCCCTCCGTTTCCCACACCAGTGCTGGGGTAACGGGTGTGTACCGCCATGTCTGGTTTTCACACGGTGCTGGCCATCTGAACTCAGACCCTCGTAGCTGTCCCCAATGCCTATGTCATTCATCCTCTCAGGAAGAAAAACACTGCATTCATTTTACCTCATCCAAACAGTTGACATGAACGTTCTTACTAGATAACAGTGTTCCAGCTTCTTGGACGGTACCTTTAAAAAAAGAAGAAGAAAAAGGAGGTGAACCATGAGCTCCTCTCTCGGGAGAGAGGGGGAAAGCCAAGGGCTGTCTGTAAGACTAGGCTTGTCAGTTCGGGTGCTAAGACGTAAGCACCCAGCCACATCCTGCTTGCCTCATAAGCATTTCTCCAGAGAAGCAGTTTCATGCACGCTCACACAGTTTCATCTAGGTTTTACTTTCATTGACCTTAAATGATATCACCTTGGCCCCATTTTCTTTTTGGCAGTCCTACTATAACTGCTCGGCATAGGAGTTAATGCCGAGGCAAACCCTAAAGAAGATCTAATCCAAATCACCACTCCGAACTGACAATCTCATCTGTGTTATGCTTAGAACTCAAGATACAGCCGGTATTGTATCATCTGTCTGCACTGGGTCTTGTTCACGAGGGCTGGTTTTTAAGAGAAGGCTTGGTTTGGAAACCTCTGGTCAGTATTCAGTTTCCCATGCTGTAAAAGATTGCATTCAAATCTGAAGTCAGTCCTCTGCAAATCTGGAAACCAGCTGGAGTTGGGTCAGAATGATCAGGTTTTTCCAGTTTTGTGCGCAACATGACAGAAAGTGGCTGCAGAAGAGACTGTCAATATTATCAGCGTTAACCCATGACAGCCACTCGTTCTGTCCAATAATTTCCAGGCCTGACTGGAAGAGAACAATGAGACTGAATGTCCTCAGAGTGTGAGGATGAGCTCTGCCTCCCCTCTAAAAGGAGAACAAAGGCAGGAGCACCCCAACTGAGGAAAAGTGGGGTGCAGACCAAACACCAGTTTCTTTCCCATGGTATGATTTGTAGACAGATCCCCTGAGGGCTCCTCATCAGTGCAGGAGAAGCAGAGATGCCACTGGGTGTGTTGGGAAAATGTCAACAGAATGATCTACAGGACCCTGGAGTGTGACGGCTATTTCTGTAAATGCTCTGTTTGCTTTTACTTCCCCTGAGGGCAGTTGGTATCACTGGCTGAGTGGCTAAGGAAAAGGAGACATTTGTTGCAGTACATGCTAGCCAATCTGACCTAATTGGTGAGCTGCAGGCACAGAGAGACCCTATCTCAAAGGAGGTGGACAATGTTCCTGATAATGTCACCCAAAGCTTTCCCTGCATGTGTGCACACACCCAAGAGGAAGATACTCTGGAGCCTGTGGACGGCTTCTACTTTCAACTTCAGCCCAGCCTGTAGCTTCCAACCAGGGACTTTCTCAAACAGGCTCAAGAAGATGGAGAATAAAAAGTCCTTCACCCCGTGTGCACTGGGGAAGGTGCTCCAGTAGACTCCCACGGAAGTCAGTTTCTTCCTGGTCAGGATATGATCGTGGAGTAAAAGAGAACACTACAGGAACTGGAAGCATCTCACAGCCAGGCACATGTTAAGGACAGGATGGATCTCAGTAGAGAACAGGCTTCTAATGTACAAAATGTTTGCCCAGTGGCCAACAGCCTACAGAGATAGTAGGCAAGCTGTACAGCATAAGGCGGGGAGGATATTCTCCTGATAAACTCTCACTCAGTAAGCTCAAGACTTTATTTATGACACCAGAGACTCCCCCATCCCTGCCACCACACACACACACACACACACACACACACACACACACACACACCCAGAGCAGTTCTCCAGCAGACATCCATGAGATGTCTCCCTCAGCTTTGATGACACACAGGACTCAAGGAAACACCAATCTCACATTTTCCCGTTAATTATAACAGGTGTGGATCCGTGGTCTCACCTGTGGGTCTCGACTCCTTGGGGGATGTAATGACCCCTTCATAGGGGTCATGTATCAGATACCCTCTATATCAGATTTTTACATTATGACTCATAACAGCAGCAAAATACAGTTATGAAGGAATAATGAAAACACCTTCATGGTTGGGAACTGTATTAAGGGGTTGCAGCATTGGAAACATTCAGAACCACTGGTCTAGATGACTAAGACATGGTATATGGGAGGAGGCACAGAACCCTCTTCGGGCAGCCCATCTTCCAGCAGTCTGAACACTTTCTCCACCTGGTATTTCAGAAATATTTTTGAGGCTTTGATGCATAGATACGATCAATTATTAGCTCAGTCTTCCACCCCTCTCCTGCTCCTGAAGTGGATGGGAACAAGAAGCTGAAAGTTCCAAGCTTGTAGTTGTGGCTTGGTCTTTCCAAAGACCAATCCATGCTGTAGAGCTTTCTAGGAGCCCACCGAACAGCAACTAATAAACAGGGACATGCCTGTCACGTAGAAAATGCCAAGAGGTATCAGAATAAAAGATGAACCAAGAACTCCTGTCACTGTAGAAGGGGGAGAGGGCTTTAAGAACTGTGTGCCAGGAAATGAGGGCAGAGAACAAATACATATTATATTCCACCCATGCAGACACATACATGTACACATGTCTGCCTGGTACCCACAGAGTCCAGAGGAAAGCATCCGATCCCATGCGCCTGGAGGTAGAGGTGACTGTGAGCCAGCATGTGGATGCTGGGAATGGAACCTGGTCTTCTCTGGAAGAGCAGCCAGCAGTGTTAACTGCTGAGCCACCTTTCCAGCCCCTGCATGCTCTTCTTATTTTACATTCAGGGCAATTATTATTATTTTGAGGTCCTAGTTAACATATGTGGGGCAAGAGCTCTACCCCATGGCTAGGCCTTAGGTATGTATAGATTTGAGTAACTATTTAGTAGATGTCAAAAGATACAGTTTGAAAAAAATATTTAGCCAGGCAGTTGTGGCACACACCTTTAATGCCAACACTCAGCAGGCAGAAGCAGGAAGACTTCTGAGTTCAAGGCCATGTTGGTCTACTTAGTGAGTTCCAGAATTGCCAGGGCTACACAGAGAAACACTGTCTCAAAGAAAAAAAATATTTATGTGTAGAGCATTTTGCCTGCATGTATGTATATGTATCACAAATCTGCCTGGTGTCAGAGGCCAGAAGATGGCACTAGATCCCCTGGACCTGGAGTTACAGAAGCTTGGGAAACAAGTGGGGACAGAACCCAGGTCTACAAGCACAATAAGTGCTCTTAACCACTAATCCACCACCCCAGACTACCAAAACGGATACGTGACAGCATCTATATCCAGTTAAACATTGGATGCTTATAACATGCTATGATGTTTATATATAGCATGCTATAATGCTTATCTATAAGTAAAATTATGTGGAGATATCTCAAACAGCTTAACTGTATGATGTATGTGGAGGGTGCATGCACATACATATAATGTCTAATCCTAATTAATCTTATTAAACAAAAACCTAAATAAATAAAAAGCAGGAGTCAGATATCAGGTTGGAAGCTGAAAGATCAGTGAGGCAGAGCAGCCAGCCACCAGAGACTTCTTACCTCTACAAAATCTCAGGCCAAACTGGGCACGGGGGTGGGGGTGGGGGGATCCTGTATCTCTACAAAACCTCAGACTGAATGGGTGGCGATCCAGTGTCCACCCGCCTTACATTCCAACATCCACCTTGCTAGTGCTGGGATTAAAGGCATGTGTAGCATGATTAATAGATATATTTAATAAATAGAGACAGATATCAGGCTTCAACCTGAAGGTCAGAAATGCAAAATAGCCAGCCACTGGCTCTTACCTCTACCTCAGTCCAAAATGGCAATTCTGCCTCCAGGAATTGTAGAAATGAGACTGTGTCTGAGAGCTGTCCCCTCCTGTCTTATCTTCCTCTCTAGGGCTGGGATTAAAGGCGAGCACCACTACCGCCTGGTTTCTATGGCAAACTAGTGTGGCTACTGGGATTAAAGGTGTGTGTCACCACTGCGTGGTCTATACGGCTGACCAGTGAGGCTGTTTTACTCTCTGATCTTTAGGCAAGCTTTATTTATTAAAAATACAAATGGCCGGGCGGTGGTGGCGCACGCCTTTAATCCCAGCACTCGGGAGGCAGAGGCAGGCGGATCTCTGTGAGTTTGAGACCAGCCTGGTCTACAGAGCTAGTTCCAGGACAGGCTCCAAAGCCACAGAGAAACCCTGTCTCGAAAAACCAAAAAATAAAATAAAATAAAAATTCATAAAAATACAAATGAAATATCACTATAGACGTGAGCCTTCTACATGCTGGGATCAAAGATTTGAGTCTCCCGAAGGATCAAAAGTGTGAGATGCCAAGTGCTGGGATTAAAGGTGTGTGCGACCACTGTCTGGCCTCTATGATTAACTAGTGGCTAGCTCCACCCTCTGAACTCCAGGCAAGCTTTAGTTGTCAGAACACACACAACACACATGTGTGGAGGTCAGAGGACACCCACGGAGACCACAGTTCACCTCCATCTTTATGTGGTTTCCAGGAACCAAACTCGGGGTGTCTAGTCTGCTCAGAAAGAATTTTATCACAAGTGCCCTAACCCTTAAAGAAAATAGAGATATAAACTGATATCATCATATATAAAGCTATAAAAATATTTATACTTGGACAACTGGAGGCTGGAAAGTCAGCCCACAGTTAGGAGTACACACTGCACTTGCTGAAGACTGGAGTTCAGTTCCCAGCACCCACAAAATCCACATCTGGTGGCTCACAGCCCCCTGTAACTCCAGCTCCAGAGGATCTGAGACCATTTGGCCTGCAAAATACCTGCACTCTATAGCACGCACACACACACACACACGTCTTAAAAATGTATTTTTTTAATCAAGACACTTCTACTATCTCTGCTATCGCATGCACTCTGAAACAGTTTATTTCCACAAGGTTTCTTAAGGTTCTCCCTCTGCAGTTTCCTTCTCGATGAAGGGAAAATATTTCCCCAAACCACAGGCAGCAGGGTGTGGTTGACATGTTACCTGTACTAACTCACTTAATCCTTACAACAGTGTATGAGGTAGGGATTATTACACACACCCGCAGAACTTGCCACTTGCAGAAGGCCACAGGAAACAATGGTGGCGGTGTTGGGATCTGGACTGCCATGGTGTCCTACTTAGCTTTCTATTGCTGTGATAAAACACTGTTACCAAAGCAACTCAGGGAGGGAGGAACACTCTGTCCAGGCAGGAACCTGGTGGCAGGAGCTGATACAGAGGCCATGGAGGGGTGCTGCTTACTGGCTTGCTCCCAATGGTTCACACTGCTTTCTTTTAAAACCCAGGACCAGTTTCTCAAAAGTGGCACTGGCCCCAGTGGGCTGGGCCCTCCCATATCAATCATTAATCCAGAAAATGCTGGCACAGATTTGTAACCTGTTCGAGGTATTTTCTCAATTGAGGTTCCTCTTCCTAGACAGTTCTAGCTTGTGTCAAATGGACAAAAACAAACAATCTAAGCCAGACACATAGTTAATGACCATTCCATGATGCATCCTGATGTTTTCAGAAAAACAAAACACAAACCTTTAGCTCTTGTAGATTAAATGTGCAAGTCCATGACATGTGCTCAGAAGGACAACTCACTAAAATTTCCTTGGTTCTGCACTCGCTGGCTTAGAAAAATTAAGCCAGCGAACACGAGCATCTGTGCACTCACAAACCTTGAGCATGAGGTGGCCCAAGAAGACAAGTGACTGGCAGGCTGTTTCTGTTGGATGCAGGCTTTGAAGAAACCCTTTCACACCTCTGAGCACATCCGAGAACTTTCACCTCCCCCTTCAGACCATATTTTCTCCAGCTGCTCAGTGGCTTTCACTTTCAAGTGAACATGTGATACCTTTGGCCTGATTAAAACCAGAATTAACATCCCTGGTGGATTATGCGCTCTGTCCTCTTTTATTTTTGGTGGGCACAGTACCCGGCACGTAGCTGGAGTTCCTGTTCACTCAGCTAAATCCCAGAAACGCAGAGACGTCACAGGAAGCCAGAAGTCCTTTGAGAATCATGCAGTTCACAGAATGAAAATCCAACCCCAGAGCTCGGAGATTTCCGGCAAATATCGATTACCCTGAAAATCTAGTCATGACTGATTTACATGCGAGATCAGTTCCTAATCACCTGTAGAGTTTTCTCTTTTCATTCTCTTCTTAGAAAGAATGCATTGACCTTACTATCTGTGATTCTGGATTGGATTTGGCTACGTAAACTGTAAACCCAGGGGCCCCGTGTTACAATTGTCCGGCTTCTCTGGATTTCGAGGTCATATGTTTAATTCTTGAACTTAAAGCATGCGCGTTAGTCACGTCTGCAGCCCCCTCATCTCAGCAAAGAGACAGTGCACGTGATCAGCCGGTGACACCTGACAGGTAACGGAATGCGGCTGGGAACTTGTCTAGGATGTCCACTCGGAGACGAGTGGGGGAAACAAGGCTTCTGGTTGGTCTAGGTAGCTTCCTTCCTACAAGCTGCACGGCGGAGGCGGGACTCGAATCCACAAAGTAAAAGGGAAAGCAAGCGCCAAGAAGCACACAGATCTCAAACGTGCAACACCCGACCAAAGGCGGCAGTGAAAATCTCGCCCACCTCCTGGCTTTTCCTGCGGGTTCCTGCACCGGCCCGGGCTACAGAGGCCCTGGATGCAGAAAGCTCAAGGCGGCACATTCAGACCGAGTTCTGTGCCCTTATAAAGAACCCTTCTAGCTGAGAGCTCCCTCCACCCCCAGCAGGGGCGGGGATCCGCAAGGGATCCAGATCCTTCGCCTCCGGAAGTCGAAAGGGCCCTTTAGACAACCAGCCTGAGCGCCTCGAATTACCAGGCCACTGTGGTCTTGACTGACTGTGGCAAGCATGCACACGCGGAGACAAGCCCCTCACAGCCGCGCGTTACAGTCCCAGAGGGGTAGTGGCAGTCTGTCCATTTCCAAAAAGCTGATTCAGAGATCTAAGCCTCGATCTGATTACGGCAATGCTTCTGCCTCCTATATTCCCCTCCCCTGTGCAATCGGCCCCCAGCTTTCTTTTCCGAATCGCAAGTTGTTCAAGGTCCCCCGGGCCTTGAGCGCGCCCCCAAGCTCCTCCACACCCCGTGACCAGGTGCACAGCACCCGGGTACTAGCCCTGCACCCGTACCTTTCCCGATCACTTCCAGCAGTTCCTTTTCTTCCTGGGTCAGCTCGCCTTTCTTTATGTGACCCATCGTTCCCGCCAGCTTGAAGCTTATTCTATTCCTTTGCTAAGGTTTTTAAAAGCGAAAGATGTATGTGTGCGTCGTGGAAGTCTCCACAGCCAGGCAACTCGAGGCCGGGGCAGCAGCCCAGCGAAGAGGCGCTCGCCAGGGTCCAGCGGCTGGGGGGCTGGCGGGTGCGGCGAGCTCGGGCGAGCCGGGCAGGCGCTCTCCGCAAGCACCGCCCCCGCGCCTCATTGGCCCGGCCGGGAGGACGAGCTGCAAGCGCAGCAAGAGACTCCAATTGGAGCAGCTCACGAGGTCCAAACCAAAAGGAGACATCCGGAGGGGGGTTCAATTTATTGCCTAGGTTTTCTACCTCAGGCTGACCTATTAAGAAGTACCGGAACACAGTGTTCCTTGAACTCTCCATCAGGTACCTCGCTGCCTGGCAGTGGCTTTCTGTAGGGATGCGCAGTGGCATCGGGATGCCGCTAGACACGCTGCCCCTAGAGTGATGCAGTTCTGGCGAGGGGCGGGGCCGGGGCGGGGCCGGGCCGGGAGGCGGAGCTAGACCGGGTTCCGTGTGTCTGTGTCAATGTGTCTGTCCTTCACTCCTCCATTGTCTGCCTCAGCCGCCGCCACCGCCACTGCTGCTGCAGGATCCGCCGCAGCCACCGGTCTCGCGCGTCGTCGCTCCCTCCTTGGACAGGTAAGAGGTGGCCAGGTGGGGTGGCGGGAGCCTAGGGGTGGAAAGAGTGGAAGCCTCCTCCCGGCCAGGGGCTCCCACCGGGCTGGAGCCTGGAGGAAGCATGTGCCTCCTGGGGCGGTTGCCTTCCTCTTGATAGAGAAGCCCCCGCGCCGCGCCATCATTCCTGCACGTGCCGTGTATCGGTGCCTGGCGAGGAAGACCCCGACCTCGCTACGTTTGGCCGTCCCAGGAGCCCCGGGGACCGCGGGCGAGCCGCGAGCTGGCCACGCGGTGGAAGTGGCGGGTGCACATGGTCTCGTGCGTGGCGATCCTCAGGGAGGCCCGCGCCAGCGAGGTGAGCTTGTGATGGGGAGAGAGGCTCGGAGAAGACAATTTTCTTTTTGCAAACCTCGGCCTCCCCACTACTTGTCTGTCATATCTCTGGGCCTCTGGAAGCGGTAGAACCGGGACCTGTGGTGTTTGTTAAGGATATTCAGAAGCAAATTACGCTTGCACTAATACTTCGTTGGGGTGTGGGCTATCTTTGCTGTGAGAGAGTTGCCTGTCTTTGTAACTCGGGTTTGGCGATTTATGGAACTAGGGAGGGGAGGGTGGAGAGGGCGGGGATTAAAATTGGTGTTGCTGTCTATATATAGCCTTAGATTAGCTTCTTAATCCAGCCTTCATTCAACTGTGGTGTGGAGCCTGGAGCTTCCACCGTGGGTAGATAATGGGTGAATAAAGTGTACGCCTTTCTGTGGTATAGATACAAGACATGCTTGCTAAAATATGCAATCATCCCCCCCCAGATGCGTATATGTAGCGTTTTACAGCGTCAATCACAGCTTCTTCAGAAATGACTCTTAGTTTTCCTGTTGTTTCGCTACAGACTAACATTGATGTTTCCCTCAAGACCCAACTGTGCTAGGGAGAAATACTTGAGTAATTAATTACGTGGGTGGTTTTAAGCATCCCCCGTGCCACTCTTTCATTCCACAGTACCATTTATAAAGTGAAATGCCTTTTCCTCTGGCTCTCCAACCTTCATTTGCCTCGAAGAATACACTCACGCTTTAATCTCGGAATGATGTTCACTGTGCCCTGCCTTTAACCAAAATATTTTCTAAACTCCAGCTGCCTACCCCCACCCCACCCCAAAGCCCCCACAGACACATAGAACTCCAGCTTGGGGGTGGGAGGAGCAGATTCTCACATGAAAATGGTTGGTAATTATTCATCTCAATGTATAACAAAGAAACTTTTGTTTGGTGATGCTCTCAAAAGGATGTAGCTGGCCCAACATGCAGTAGGGCTTCTGAGACTGACCACTGCTGGGGAGCACTCACACTGGGGCTATGCCATAATAATGGATTTGCCACAGGAGCCCACATAGCTAAGAAAATGCCTGAGAGTAACCCCACCATGTGACTGCATATCATATCAGCAGATGCATAGACGGGACTGGGCTCTTAGCTGCCGGTCTTTCCATCTCTCGTGCCAAATCTGGGCCATGGTTACTTGAAGGTCACACCTGTTTGTCTCGCTGGGGTTGTCAGTTCCTCAAGGATAGCCACAGCAGATGTGTTTGCGCGGTGCGGTGGCACCTGGTGGGTATTTAGTCTTCTCAATGCGTGCCTTTAAATTAATTAAGTTGGTGATATTTAAGGACAAAGAAAAACGTCCACCTAAAAGAGATGCAGATAAATCCTGTGTTCAGCTGGGATTGTGGGAACAGATACCTAATGGAGAGTGTTCAGAAGGGTGTCAGTAAGAAAGAGCACTGTACAATAGAAACAGTTTATGGAAATGTGTTCTCATCCAAAAAGTCTGCTGGTAATGAAATAGCTGTTAGTTTTGACTAATTCTGCCCATGCTCTGCATAGGATTATTGTAATCACTGTTTCCTGGAATTAGCCAGTACTATCTCCATCTATGAAAATAAGGACAGAAGCTAAAGGAGGTTAATTTAGCCACAGCCCCACAGTTAGGAAATAGGGAATCTGGCGTCTTTAAATCCTTTTGTGGGTGTGGTGGTACACACCTCTAATCTCAGCACCCAGGAGGCAGAGGCAGGCAGATCTTTCTAGCTCCAGGCCAGCCAGAGTTACATAGTAAGATCCTGTCTCAAAGGTTAAAAAATAAAATAAATAAACATATAGCCAAACTGAATGATTAAAAAAAGAAAGAAAGGAAGGAAGAAAAAGGAAGGACATGACTGTTCCTAGGTATGGTGGAGGAGAAAGGTTGTGCAGCTAAAAGGAAGAGTAGAGGCAGGAGCATCTGGGAGAGTCCAGAGTGGATGTGTCCTTGAGCCAGGTCAAGAGAGGGGGAGGGGAAAGATGGGAGAGGATGAGAACCAGGTGCTGCCGCCAGGAGTTCAAAAGGTAAAAGAGAGACTGGTAACAGAAATGGCTTCATAGTATAGGGAAGAATTCTGGGTAGAGGGCAGGTTCTGCCAGCCACACCCTGTAACTGGTAGGGACTGTGAGGGATGCTGGGAGAACCTGGCCACCAGGTTCTCAGCCATTTGTCCCTTTACCCTGGCTCTTCTCTGTGTGCTTGGGGGGGAAGTGGGGAGGAAGTACATATCCTCTGACTAGCTGTTTTGTATGACGTTCATGAGATCCAATCTGCCAGAGGTCCAGTTCTCCTTTTCACCTCTGTCTGGTGCCTTCTCCTTTACCCACGCCTTCCCGAGATATGTGTGTGTCATATATGTGCCTATTCCACAGGGTTTTTTTTTTTAATGGAAGCGTATTAGCACACTTTTTTTTTTTACATAATGGAGTGTGTGTGAGAGACTCCTATTCCGTCTCCACCTTTGTAAACATAGTAATCTCTGAAATCTCAGCCTGTCCTGTCACCTCTTACACTACTTGTGTCCTTGGTGTCTGCTGTGATTCCCAAGCTTTGCCTCCCTCCCCACCTGCCTATTTCAAGGCACCCTCAGCTGAGTAAGCACCAAGCATAGTCCTCCTTTCACCTGCCAATGAGGGGGGCTCCAAGTGGGTCCCAGCAGGCATTTCCAGTCAACCAGCTCCTCCCACTCTGCCCTGAGGTCACCATACTGCTGGTTCCCTAACTGCCAGTAATTCCCACCCCTTGTTTCTTTCTCCTTTCCCTTCCTGGAATCCTCTGTCTGGTTCACCCATTCCCTTCTCCTTCTCCATGGGAATTTCTCTTTTTTCAGTTTATAAGTCTTTTTCTTCAGCTGGAATGTGTATCTTTCACCTCGCTCAGTAAGGGAAGTACAGACCCTTAGACAATGACAGGGGCATAACAAATCTTTGCAAAGGCATGGTACTGACAGATGACGTGGTTACTGCCATAGTTGGCAACCTCTAATGGGTCTGTATTGTGGGAACCAGCCAGCACCCTCAATCCATCCTTCCAATTAGCACCGTTTTCTGGGTCTGCATTCCGTGTGAAAACGATAAGATTTAGCCAATGCCTTCTCCTCCCATCCTATAACCACTCTGCATAATTGTTTGGATCTCTTTTCCTTCTTGATGGTAAAGTCGCTGGGTCAGCTCTGTCTGTGTTTATGAACACATAACCCAGTGCCTTGCTGCTAGTAGATGCTCACAACACGCTGAGCTGAATTCATTTGATCTCAAAGTTATTTTAGGTGGATTTGTTTACTTAGTTTACTAATCCTTCCTGGCAGTGTGAAATGGCACTAAACACACATAGCCATAACCAAGGGCAGGCGGTCTTGGGCTTCTTGACACTTGGCACTGCCAGCTAAGGAAAAAGCTTCTCACAAATTTAGCATGCCGTTCTCCATTCCCTGTACAAGCCCTTGGTCTTCCACTCTCTGCTTGAAGAGAATACTTTTTATGGGGGGGTGGGGGGGGCGCTGACAACGAGTTTTCAGTATTTTACCTGAGAGGCAGAGTTTCCCCCTGAGTGTCTGACTTCTTGAATTTACACTAGGTAGCGTCCTGATTGGCTGGAAACTTGAGGCTATTAAGCAGTTTTGACTTTTCTGACCAGAATAGTATGCTTCTGTTTTCAAAAGATTGCTTATCGTCCAGAGATCCGTTTGGAACTATTTGAGAAGGAAATGGTGTGCCTTTTGCTGCAGTGTAACCATGGGTAGAGGCTGGGACTGACTGGAAACTTGGAAGACAAAACTGACGGCCTTTGGTTGAAGCTGTTTGACTAACTTCATTCACTAGCCTTCCTCCTTTTGACGATGTTTGAGCGGAGTATGAGAGTCCCTAACTAAGACAAGACATTGCCCCTACCCGTGAGCCGTAATATGAACACTCAATGTTTAAGTTATGCAGTTCTTCCCTGGAGTGCTCAGATGGCCACACCTAGCTCTGCAGGGGACTAAACCATCACATGCCTTAGTAACTTCTGCACAAGTGTAAGGAAGAGGAGCTGACTCCTTCCTTGGCTCACAGGAATGAATATCTTACTGGCAGTTGGCTGGTGTCCCTTTGTTTGTAGACAAGTCTACAGGAAGACACATAGTTTATCTGAGGAA